ATATAATTTTTAAAAAATTACAATATTTAAATTATACTAATAGTGATTGTTTTTAAGAGAAATTTTAGACATTAGAAATTTGAATTGCTTAAAAAATTTAAATAGGTTAGATAATAATAATAGTAATCACTCGAAATATTTTTAATTTCTTCAATAAAAACTATATATTTAATTACGATAGATAGAAAAAATATCATTTACAATAACATAGGTTATTAACCGTTATGTATAATGTTAAATATATTTTATATAGAAATACTACAGTTCTGTATAATTTTTAAATAAATAATGAGCGTATACTATGTGCTTGACGCATCAAAAATGCACTTTAAATATGAAATGTAGGCACAAAATATTTATTATATACATAATATTTATGTATACTGTTTATTTTTAATAAGGTTACATTCTTCTTATGTCAATTTATTATTTTAATTGAATAAACAATTTCATAAACTATATTTTATTAAAGAATTTTATAAAAAATTTATAGTTTATATATAATAAATTCATTGAAATCTTCACTGCATTTCTGTATATATACATAGGTTAAGTTAAAACGGAATCAAGCAAATCTCGATCGATTTACTTAACGGGAAGCTTGTCTCTATGACACGAACCAATCAATATATTGAATAAAATTAAACAATCACCTTTCTTGAGATCGTTAATTTCTCGATTGTTTTGGTTGACATGCAACACTAGAGGATCTGAACCCGAGTTGCGCGCTCCAAAGGCAGTAACATTATGCCATCCTGACTCAATTGATAGTTTTCAAAAACTCCTATTTAAGTTTCACATCCATTTGGAGAGAAATATTTTCTTGGATCAAGAATACGGGATTTGTATTAAGTAAAAAATTAATTCAAAGCAAATGCATAAAACTATTTGATTCAAGAAATGAAAATTCTTCAGACAATATTTTATTATTTTGCTTAATAACCTAATATTCTTGATTGAAAATAAAATATTGAGTTGCGATAATAACATATTTACTTCTGCCAAATACTAAATTTTTAATTCAAGAACTATGCGTTAATCAAGTTAATTAATTAAATAAAAAATATTTTCAAGGAAACAAAAAAATGATTTCCTTCAAGATTATATCACTATTTTAACTGAAAAAATAAATTATTTCATTTAAGATAATATAATATTATTTCTAGAAATTGAATTAATGCTTAAAGTATATTAAACACTTGGATTGATTAATGTTTAATTTAATTTATCTGCATAAAACTGAAAACGATTATAAATTATTACGCCGTGAACATGCTGCAACATAAGGCACACGCAGCTGTTTGTGATTTTACGTAGCTGATGCGCGCGCAGTGAACGCTCGTAGTAAATCAGCGTGCTTAAGTTTGGAAAAAATATTTCTTTGATTCAAAAAAATTTTTCTTTAGATTAAACATGTCAGTTAAAAAAATTTCATTAGTTCAAAACGTTCCAAAATCATTTTTTCTTAAAATCAATTAAATTTTTCAATTAAATAAATTTAATTTTTGACTTAATAAGTGATTTTATAAAATAATTTCTTTGATTCAATCAAATCATTTTTATGTGTGTAGATAATCGTATTTTTCAATAATGAGTATTCTTAATAAAATAGCGTTACTTTTCAGATACACAAAAAAATATTTTTCCTATAATAACAATATTTTCTTTATATATGTATGTACGTGTACTTACTGAACAACTCGAATAAATAAATTAGGGAATCAAACTTATAATATATGTATACAAGTTTATATTATTGCTTCAGGAAAATTGCTTAATTGCATCACTTAGGGGAGAGCGGGGCAAAGCCGCTGATGTAACATTTATTTATAAATATTTTTGTTATTACACCTTCAATTGACGTGATTTTTTTTTCTATTTCATCTAAAACTAATCAATAACAAATTTCAATAGTAATTATTTAATTTATTATAAGCTTGATTAATTAATTTAATTATTTTCAAAGAGATGCAAAAAAACGGCTTTGCCCCGTATGGCGGGGCGCAGCGACGTTTTTGCTTATATTTTTTGAAAGTAGAAAATTATAGCCGTTAAAACTGTACTAAGTTGCAGTAAATGACCTAATATCTTTGAAACATAAGTATTTTATACATTTTTTAAAGAGTTTTAAGTTATTTTATAAAAAATATCAATACTTGTATTTTTAACCTCACATTTTGAATTCAACTCTTCACTTTTTCGTTGAAAAGTCTACTTTACCGACTGTTCAAATTCAAAAATAATTTAAATAACGGCGCGAAAATATTATGAAATATTAATATTATATTTACATAAAATTTATCATTTTTTTAATGTTAATAATAAATTTGAATACTAATAAATTAATTTATGTTCTAAATGAAATATTCTTTTTAAAATTATACTATTTTAATATATTATATAATAAACACAGATATTTTACATAAAAATAAATAATGTCCTTTATTTTATTTGATTTTGTGAAATAATGTAACATAATAATATAGCTAATATAAGATAATAATAATAAAAAAATAATTAAATTGAAATATGTAATTTTTGAAAATAAATAAAAATAATTATTTAATATTATTTTATTTAATATTAATTTATTAATTTTAATTTATGTTTTGGTTAAAAAATCAGGTTAATATTTGTTGACACTTGATTCATGTGAAGTTAGAAAAACTTCAAATATGAAGGTAATGCAGATTTTCATTTTCAACTGTTTTTACGAAACAGTTTTTAAACGGCTTTGCCCCCAATGCCATACATTTTTTATTTTTAAAATTCAATTTATTTAAACAAAAAATAAAACCTAAATTTCATGCAGATCGTGTAGATAAATGTTTCATTTATTCAAGCAAAAAGTTTTTAAGACCTAAGTGCTTAAAGCAATTTTTTAAATTTGAATCTTCGATCAACGAAATTTTCATCTCTTTCTTGCAAAAACTATTTTTATGTTATATTTCCTAATATATTTAATATTTTTTAGTTTTTTCTTTTCCAATCTATTGCTTTAATCGTATTAACAATAAACTGTTAACGAAAATGGTAATAGATTAGAAAGAAAGAAGATATTTCGAAAAACGCCTTTGCCCCGCATAGCGGCTTTGCCCCGCTCTCCCCTAATTCGACCGAGAAAATAAATTATTTCAATTAAGGGAATATAATATTTATTCAAGAAATTCAATGTTTTTGAAACATGATAATATAGAAATGCACTAAGAACAATGAAAATTCAATTTAATTAACGTTTATTTCAAACAATATAATTTTTTATCAGGTTTAAACAAATATTTAATTATATTCTCTCTAAATCTGAATAAGTGAAATTTCACTTAAAATGTGTCAAAAGTCTTCCACGTAGAAAAATAAGTGTATATGCACTTTTAAATAAGTGGTTTTCACTCAAAAATAAGTGAAGTTTCACTTATTTTTAAGTACATATACACTTATTTTTCTACGTGGAAGACTTTTGACACATTTTAAGTGAAATTTCACTTATTCAGATTTAGAGAGTTAATCTTCTTATTTTCTTGGCTCAAAACTATAAGTGTTGGATTAAGTAAAAAATGTTTTAAAGGAAACAAAAAATTGATTTGATTCAATTGTATGACTTAATTCTACTGAGAAAATTAATTATTTCAATTAAAAGAATATAATATTCTTTTAAGAAATTCCATGTTTTTGAAACACGATTATATATAGAAATGCACTAAGTAGATATAATATTTAGTTTAATTCGTGTTTATTTCAAGCAATATAACTTTTTATATAATTTAAACAAATATTTAGTTATATTAATATTCTGATTTTCTTGTCTCAAGACTATGAGTGTTGGATTAAGTAAAAACTGTTTTTAAAGTAAACAAAAAAGTGATTTGATTCAAGAAACTAAACGACTCCACGTACTTTACTTAAAATAAGAACATAATATTCTTGTCTCAATACTTTTTGGGACTTCGTGCAAGTAAAATATTTTTTTTGAAAGAATAACAGTATTTGCTTGTATAGAACTCACATTTTCTTATGTCAAGTACATTGCCCAATGCTAATAACTACTTGGCATAAGAAAATAAATTTCTTCCATTAAGATGATATTTGGCTTGATTCAAGTAAAGTATCTCAAGTAAATGCATTTACTTGATTCAATGAACTTTTTTTTCAGTGTGGACTTCTTAAGGAAATCCTAATTTAAAAGAGTTAAAGTATCAAATTGATACAAATTTTTATATCAATTCGATATTTTTTGTATCAATTTGATACTTTTAAGTTAGTGTGAGGGGTATCTTAATTTCCGTGGACAAAATTATATCCCTAGGATATCCTGAATATCCGGATGCTGTTAAGGACCATTTACAAGAATTAATTTCTTGTTTTTTGGAATTTATTGCTTTTACGTAATCCCAAAATTCCTTGGCACCGGATATTTCAAAATCTGGTGATTTTTCAATATTCAGCTAGCGGAAATTAGGGCATCCTAATTTCCAACATCGATAAGATAACCCTGTATGACTTCTGCAGGATATCCTGAATATCTGGAAGCCATTAGAAAAGATATTCTTTTTTTTGTATACTAATCAGTTTTCATTACTATTTCCTTCATCCCAACTTGTATATAAGTATTAATTATAAATTACAATAAATCTTGTAATTAACCACTGTTTTCGATGTATTCTAGATATATATATAGATACTAGATTGAATCATAAACCAATATTATATTCAATATTTATAATAAAGCAACATGAAAAAATAAAATTAATTTGTATTACTCTGATTTTTTTTTTTTTTTCATCTATTGCGAGAAATTATCCAACAGTATCAGCTCTTGTTCTTTCATCCCCGTGTATTATGTATATAGATATACAGAAATCTACAGGGTACCGATTTAGGGAATGAAATACGGTCGTAAGTATGGTGCGGGTGAACAAGGGGTTGATAGCGACGGCGCATTACCACTGTATAAAGCAGCGCATGCGTTTAACGTAAGTTTACTACTTGGGTCGAACGAATAGCTAGCCTGCGAACCAGCAGCAGTTTAGTACACTGATAGTTTCCTCCACGAGAACTTTGTCATGCGTTGAATTCAAAAAAAAAAAAAAAAAAGAAAAAAAATCTGTCACTAAATTTCATAAGGAAATATCCAAATTGTTCGAATGATAAAAATTATCCCTAAAATGATGAATATCATCAGTGTTTTATGTGAAGTTTAAGTTTACCGCGCGGTTAATATTAAAAAAAAAAAAAAAAAAAATCAGTACCTTTATTTGCTGGGGCATAAGGTTACCAAAAAAAAAATTTTTTTTTTTTTCTCCTAAAAACAAGTGTTCAGTGCTGTGGTGATAAATATCAATGAATGTGTAGTGGTTTTGTGCAATGAGAGATACCGCTGGCCTATTTACAGGAACTGACAACCAATGTACCAACCAGGTGAGTGTGATATGTATTGTAATCCCTAGGTTGTTGGACTCATACTTTTGCCTCCCCACCACGCCCAATGTTTGTGCTTCTTATAGCTGACAGTAGACTGGGATTGCAGAGAAAGGAAAATTGAAATAATATATTCAATGATTTTATTTAAATTAAAAATTATTTTCAATATGATTTTTAAAGTAATAATTGAGAAAAAGGACACGCGATAATTTTGTATTCGTCTTCTTAATCTATGTGAATTTGACGGGAACACTAGCGCCATTTCAGAACATTTTACCCATAGCACCCTTTTCGACTATTCGAAGCTCTGTAAATGACATTGATTTCATAAATGTTCCAAAAAAAAATTTTTTTTTTTTTTTATTCTATTTTCTAAAAGTACAGAAAATAAGTTATAAACTTTCTTTTTTCATCTTTAGCTTACAGTAAAAGAAGAAGTAAAAAAAATCTCCTGATAGCGTGCGTGTTGAGAGCACCATTCATTCCTTTGGAAATAAAATCTCTGCTTAAGGTTCCGATTGATTTCATGGAATTGAATATTTGGTATATAACGCTAAAGAAGAAAAATCTGTTTAAAAAAAAAAAGTAGATTTCTAATTATTTTAATCCGAATTTTACCTTTTAAACTATGTTTTCTTTTTTTTGGATAAATTATTGTAAAACCTGTTAGAATAATTATTGCTAATTTTGTAAATATTATATTTTTTAATTCTATATTAAAATTAGTAAAATTATTTTAATTTTTATTTATTATTATTTAAATGTAAATGGGCAAAATTTTACGTATTTCTATTTAGTGAGTATACAAACGTTTCATTAAAATCAATACTTTTAAGTAACAGTTGTAAAGATTTTTTTTTTTGGCATTTTTGCAAGATTTTGTAAATTTATCCATATTGTAAGTAATTCCTGAATTGAGCTCTACTAATTTTGTTGTTGTTGTTGTTTTAGTTGAAAATATTCAATTAAATGTTGTATCTTTTTGTTATACGTCTTTGACAGTAGTCGCAGATAACAGCTTAGCACGTGTTTTTTTTTATGCTTCATTGCTTTTGATATTTATTTAGGAAATGTAAAATTATTTTAAGTGTTCTCGATTTCCTGTACACTTATAATTTCAACATACAAATTAGATCCTACCCACTTTTTTCAATCTCTAAATTTAAATTAGTGAAAAGTGAGCTACAAATTTAAATTGGTAAGAATTTTCATTAATTTTCAGTCACTTTTTACTAAAACTTTAGTAAACAAATTTAAAACTACTAAAGTAATATTTTACTAAAAACACAAGCACACAAAAAAAAGTGGTTTGGCCAAGACACTACAGTAGTGTATTTCCATGTATTTTTCGCCGCTGAATCCAAATCCGAAGTCGGAATAGTTAGATTGGCTCTTGTTTTTGAGTTATACTCAAAAAACGACTCAAAAAAACTAATTAAAATAAAAAAAAAAAAAAAAATTTATATACACTAGTATATTTTCATGTATTTTTTCCCGCTGAATCCGAATTCGAAGCCAGAAATGTCAAAATGGCTCAAACTTTTGAGATAATCTCAAAAAACTGCTCAAAAAAAAAAATTTGAATCGTTTTTTGAGCATATAACTCAAAAACAAGAGCCAATCTGACTATTCCGACTTCGGATTCGTATTCAGCGACGAAAAATACATGGGAATATACTACTGTAGTGTCTCGGCCAAACCACTTTTTTTTTGTGTGCCTGTGAAATTAGTAAAAATTTATAGGTCAAAAAAATTATTTCTTCGCAGAACTTCCGACACATCTAAAATTAATTTTATAGATTTTCATTACATAGAATTTTTTTTCAGCCGAATTTACATTCGTTCGAATTATTTTCTGACAGAATTTCCATTTATTCGATTTTCTATATATTAATACTGAATTTGGGTTATATAACTGAAAATTCATTTCACAGAATTTTTATTTTTTCGAATTTTCATTTAACATAATAGCCATTTAAATAAAGGAATTTTCATTTGTTTGAATTATTATTTGACAAAATTTTCCATATAATCGATTTTTCATATTACAGAATTTTTACTTTACAGTTATTTAATTTGTACATTTTTTATTTAAAAGAATTTTAATTTAACAGAATTTTCATTGAATCGAATTTTATGTGATTCAAATTTTTAAATGACAGAAATTACAATTCATCAAATTTTAAATTTGTCCGAATTTTTTAATTTGGTTGAATTTTTAAGACGCCGAATTTCCATTTGTCCGAAATTACAAATGACCGAACAAACAATGGACAGAAAGATTACGGCGCAATTTTTAAAATTGATCAATTAAAAATTGTCAAGAAAAATTCTGATTGGTCAATTTCAAAAAAATGCGCAGTTATTTTTTTTTTGTTCGGCCATTTGTAATTTCGGACGCAAGTGAAAATTTAGCGTTTTAAAAATTTAATCAATTAAAAATTCATACAAATAAAAATTCGTTTCGTCAGAAACTTTTGGGTACGAATTTTAAAATTAACTAATGAGAAATTACCGAGAAAATTTTGATTAGTTAATTTTAAAATTTGCAACGAAATGTTTCTAACGAATGTTTATTCATTCAAATATGAAAGTTCAGTCAAATAAAAATTTTCGGTTAAGTAAAAAAAAATTCGTTTAAATATAGATATTTTATTGAATGAAAATTAGAATAAATACAAATTCTGACGACAAATAAAAAATCGGAGAAAAAAAATTTTGCAGGGAAAATTTTATATTTTTTATATCTGTATGTTTGTATATTGCATTCTCATATTTTGAGGCATTATTTTTTTTTTTTTTTTTTTTTTTTTTTTTTTTTTTTTTTTTTTTTTTTTTTTTTTTAATAATTTAGTGAGTTGAATATATGTCAAATCAGATTTAATAATTAACAGAGTTTGCTTTTTTAAATAAAGAGATAAATTTGAATTATTATGTTTTACAGTTTACAGGATTGGAATGATTTAAATCAACTTTATTTAAATCATGATTTATATCATAATTTTTATCATGATTTAATTTAAAGGGTCATTTACATTTAAATTATGATTGAAATCAAAAAAGTCTGTAATATTACAATTTACAAAATAAATAATAAAAAAAAATTTTAACCCTCTAATGCCGAGGGTGTTTAGAAGTTATCATAAAATTTTTTCAAGGCTTTAGTTTATCTAATTTATATAAATTAGATAAACTAAAGCCTAATTATGCTTCGGATTTGGAGGAAAATAATTGTTGAAATTGAAAAAAAAACGGTAAATTCACTGTTTTTTGTTATTAAACTTGAAAATGCCATCAGGACTTTATATATTATATAAATTATTTAAAATAAAATCAAACAAAGTTACTGAACACAAATTTAATTTGAAATATTATCAATATAAAATATATGTAATTATTTTACCATAAAAACTATTAACACTTACTTTCTTTTAAAATTTATTGACAATTATAATATTTTTAATGTTTAAACAATTGAATAACGATTTTCGATGGTACAGAAACACTCTTCCTTACCTACTGAAACCTACTGTATGTATTAGATTTTTGTTTCTGCAGTAAAATTGTTTAAAAAAATTGTTAAATCTATGGGACGCCCAAGTCCTACCCGTACCTAGAGGATTAAACATGACTTTTTGAATTATTTGTCAAAAAATCTTTACGTCGAAACTATTAAAAGCAGTTAATAGAATACAGAGTGTCTAACGGTCAGGGAAGTCCGGGAATTTTGTTGGTCAGAGAAAAGTCAGGGACTTTTAGAAAATTTAATTAAAAGTCAGGGAAATTTCTGTAAATTTCTACAAAAATTAAAATTATTTGTGAATATAAAAATTTTTTATTCTTAAGAAACTTGAATAGTTTTTATTACCATTTGTTACTACCATTAGAAATTAATTTATTGTTAAATATGTCAGTAACCATATTTTTGTCCAAAGAAAGCAGAAATAAGGTTATTAAAAAGTTAGGGAATTTTATTCTCAATCCTTGTTAGATACCGTGGAATATTTAAAAACGTATCAATTGATGAGAGAAATTTTACAATATAAATGTTTACAAAGTTATTAATTTTTTAAAAATAAAAATATTTTTTTTATAATTTTAGTTAAAAAAATTTATATTATAAATTCTGATATATTCTAAAAAATAAGTTATAGCTATTAAATCTTTATTATAGAATTATTGACTTTTTAAAAATTAACAATTATTTTAAAAAAACACGAACTGTTGAACAATTTTAATGTTTAATTCAAAAATGTTATTTTCTTTAATAAAAATACATGCTGATATTATGTTGATGTAAAAATATAAATATTTTCTTATGCTTGTATTAAATATATCGTTTAAAAATATTTCTTTAAAAAACTACTTAAAAATGAATTTTTGAAATATGTTATGTAAGTAAGATAAAGATTTTTTTTATTTAAAAAAATATATATGCTTTTATCACGAAGCTGAAGTACGCAACGTTTATATAAACGATTTTTAAAGAAATAATTTTTTAAAATGAAAAATTCTATAATTTATTGCCTAAAAAATATTTCTTGTAGTTTTCATTAATCAACAAATTATAAAAAAATATTTTTTAGGCAAAAAATTATAGAATTTTTCATTTTAAAAAATTATTTCTTTAAAAATCGTTTATAGGTATAAACGTTGCGTACTTCAGCTTCGTTTTATCAGCCCTAACAGTTTATAAAGTCAATTTTAATAAATGAAAAGAAATTTTGCGTTTACTATGTGTAATAAAAAATTAAATTATTAACAAGTTAAAAATCATAACATAAATATAAATAAACATTGTGGATAAGAAAAATCTTTAAACTTTATCTTTGGTTAAAATTACTTAGCAATGTATAATCATATTGTACTATAGATATACATCTAAACAAAGTTCAAATACATATATTAAAACTAAAGTTAAGAATTTAATATTCATTTTTCTTTTACATTATTTATAAATAAAAGAAAAAAAATATAATATAATATAAATAATAAAA